GTAATTTAATAAATTGGTCGTTATGCAAAAACTTCTTATAACCTATAGCTATAGGTATCAATTGACTCCTAAAAAAAACTCTGTTCTTACTTCACTCTCAGCTTAATTACCATCTCTAGCCAGTCACTCCCTTTAATATTGAAATTTTGCTTATTTTCAAACAAAACCACTCTTTTTTTTGAAGAGTTAATGAGAAGAAGAACATGTTTTACAATTTCCAATATATAACCAGATAAATTTGTATTTCTCATAATTCAGCAATGTGCAAAAAACAAAACCAGCGAAGCTACGATGTGACAACGTCGTAACAATAATATTACCTGAATTTGACCTGCTTCTTTTGTTTATAGTTCACACACTCAGACAGTGACTAATAAAAAGTGTTTGGGTCTTTTCAAAATAAATATTCTTGAAGAATTACTTTCAAAATACTGCACATTCCCTTGAACTGTAGCACAGGATGTGTTTAATGTTTGATAACACTGTCAGTCTGCTTCCTTGTTTTACACCAATTATTCCAGCATTAAGAGAACAAGTGTAGAGGATATATTACACACGCTGTACAAGATATATCAACCACCAGATATATATAATATATTTACTAGGCTTGTCTATCTGTCTGTCCGTTTGTATCGCAATGAATGTCAAAACGGCTGAACAGATCGGGCCCAAATGCTTGAGACAATTCTCATGACCCAGTGAAGGTTTATGGATTCTCAGAATTTCGAAAATTTGTCTCCCAAAAATTTAGATTCAGTAAAGTTTTGAAAATCCACAAAACATATTTTAAATCTGCGAGCTTTTCTACTTATAGTTTTAAGGATAGAGATAGAGCCACAATTAAAAGTTAAAATAGTAAATGGGTGTGATGACCTCTGAAAGCGTAGTATTAAAGAAAGTGTTCACAGATATATTAACCAACATCAAAAAGAATGTTGGATGGATAAAAATATTGATAAAATTTTGGGTTAGATAAAAGTATAATTAAAGATTCATGCATAAAAAGAATAAATAAAGATGAATATTGGATAGATGAAATGTCTAAATAAAGAATGTTGGATAAATAATGCATACATGAAGAATTTTGGATATTTAGATGCTTAAATAAACAAGAATGTTAGATAGATACAAGAATAATTAAAGAATTTTAGAAATATAAAGTAAAAATAACAAATGTTTGATGGATTAAAATAAAATTAAAGAATGTTGGATAAATAAAAGTATAAATAAGGAAGAATACATGAATAAGAAAAGTATGAAAATATAATTTTGGATAGATAAATAAATATATATTTATAAAGTATAAATAAAGAATGGTAGATAGATAAACGTATAGATAAAGAATGTTGGCTAGATAAAAGTATGAATAAAGAAAAATAGATAAAGATAAGATAAAAGTTAGATGGAAAAGAATGATGCTAGATAGATAAAAGAATGCCAAACATGTACATCATCAATTTAAGACAATCAAACAAAGTAGAAAGAAAAAAAAATATTTTTAAAAAATCTTATAAATTCATAATCTCTAGTGGTTATTCCATGTAAAAGTTCTAAAATATGTAAAGGACAATTTTTTTTGATGGGTTCCGTTTGGTTCTGATTGATATAAAATGGCCGAGGGGTTTTTATTAGCAATATCCTGATATAGATAATAATGTTAGAAAATAATACAGGTTTATCAGTTGATAGAAGAAATATATCATAATATTTTTTTCTTCTCACTTTTATCTTATTTATAAAGTTACAAAATTTTGTTTCTCACTTCTTTTGTTTGTCCATTTTTGGCGCTTTTTTCAAAGGTTCGAGTTTTCATCTATTTTCTTAATTATTTGCATTTACTTTACAGGGAAGTTTAGGGAATTTTTTTTTTACCAAGGACTCCCAAGATCAATTTTATCTACAAAATATTAAAAGCGCATCAAGGAGTGTTTTGAGACAACATTTGTCTAGGGAACCCGTGGTTAAGTAAGATTTTTAATCTAATTACTGAAAAAGTAATGATATAACAATTTTATCATCTGACGAGATGAAAATGCGCAAATATTTACACGACTACTTCGCAAAGTGATTCGTTCTTTTACTTAAATGTCCTAAGGGGCTTAAAATAGCTAAACCTTCTTTTTCTTGGGGAAATCATAATAATCATTAAAATGATTTATTCTTAGATTAGACAAAATTATTATTTTTGCAATGTATCAAGCAGTCAAACGTTTCTGGGAAAAATTAGATGAGAATTCTAAAAGCGACTGTGACTGGTACAATTATTTAGCAAATTTGAAAAATTTAGATTAAAATTATAATAAAAATTCAAATTTAAAACTTGTAAAATATATAATGTTAAAAAAAGAATCGGAGTGGAAACAGTAGTTAAAAATAACTAATGAAAATCAAATAGATTCTAGTACAATAGATGGCCACGTGAATTTGTACACTCTCATTACAGCTGTATTCTGACGTCACAAGTGTCAATTCAGCTTTTGTGTCCGACAAAATTATTAATGATAGTGATAGTTTTAGAATGAAGTTCTTATCTTACAGTGAAATAATTGCAATATTAAGTGTTCTTTATTTTCTGTTTTTACACTTTTTTATTTAATCTTGGAAAACATGTCAACTAATGTGAGACAATTTTGTTTTCCTTGTAATATTTGGCACTTATGACGTCGTGTATAATTAGCTCATTTCTCTGTTGCCACCTATTGTATTTGATACTCTATTTGATAAAAATCACTCAAATATTTCAAAGAAACTGAGTTTTTGTCACAAACTCAAATTATCTAATCCCTGCAGTTTCCTTAATATTTGATCTAACAGAATTCCTAGTTTGGGTTGCAAAGGTAAAAGGATCAACCAGAGTTTGTGGCAAAGGTTCAATTCTTTTAGATTTGAAATTTCAGGGTTGAAAGACCAACAAGAATTCGACGTTTATCATTCAGGTCTGTTTAGTGTAAATGAAAAACATATAAGAACTTAAAATGACAATTATTGAAAAAAATTTTAAACATAATTTTTATTTGTGATGTGATACAAAGCAACTAGTATTACCAGTAGATTGCAAATTAACTAAAACTTAGTGATGAATTTATAAATCACTTTTTAATCGACCGGTCGTCTTCCAAATACATACATAGTTTCGTGGGTTACCCTTGTTAAACGTTTTTCTGTATATATAAAGTAGTAATCTTTGTTAATCAGTTTTTTGGGTGTCCCCTAGACCAATTTGTATCAAACTTGGAAAACTCGGTTGAACCATGGGATTATTCTTAGCCTGGTTTCAACATTCTAAGTTCTAAGTTGAGTGGGTTAACTCCAGATATATATTTTAGAAGATCCAAATCTGTTCAATCATCGGTTGATATTATCAAGAATTCTCTACCTCTTGGTTCTTTAACCAAGCCTGAGGAGAATATTGTATGTTCTGGCAAGGTACATCTGCACGGCAGGGCCGGGTCCATATAATTTCCTTTCTCAATCCCATTTGGTATTGAGAAATTTGAAACAAATGAAGGCAACTTTTTAAAATGGCGGCAAATTGTTTTAAGATGATAATTGTTTTTTTAATTGGGGCATTTTTTTTCCAATTTGGGGGCAATTGGGAAAAAATGTGTTAGTGAAATTTGAAAATGTTTTTCATATGGAGGCATTTTATTTTCCAATTAGGGGCAATTGGGAGCAAATGTGTCATTGGTATTTGAAAATGTTTTTAAATTGTGGTCATTTTTTTTTGGGGGGGGGGGGGCCAAACAAATGTTGGGATGGAGAAAACCAGCTATTTTGGGAATTATATGGACCCCCTGCTGTACAGACCTACATAGTCACGTCAAACTGAAGTATCTGCACAGACCTACATAGTACATACTCACGTCAAACTAAAGTAAACTGCACGAGAGATTAAAATTTTAATTTTCTTCAATCAACACTCCTCTAATGAAGAGCTTTTGAGTACAAAACCGTTTTAAATTTTAATATGTAGATAATCGAATAAATTTGCTCAACACTAGAGGAGCTTCGAGGTCACAAAGCCGTACCAAACTGCAAACCAAGATGTGCGCGCTCTCACTCAAAAATCAAGCAGTATTTTGCCAATTAATCCCTTTAAACCTAATCTAGAAATCTATTCATTAGTTACCAACAATGTCCCATAAACTTGACCTTCTCCTTCTCTCGAGTTTCCAGTTTGCTATTGCTAAAAAACGGATGAAAATTAAGGATTCGGTGTTCGAATTTAATGAATTTAAACTTCGTCTTAAATCACCAAAAAACCGGTTTCAATTGACCGCCGGCTTAAATCTTGAAAAATTAATACAAATTTAAGTGGAACCAACAAAATTTGAGCCGCGGCTTAAATTCTTTAAATTCGGCCTCGGAGTCCTGAAATGTTTAATTTTTACCAATATATCAAAAGTTGGTGAACATTTTGAATTTAAAATGTAAAAGCATGGTACGGTGCAAACGGTAAAGCAAATTTTATTAATGGATTTTTGAATTTTCAAAGAAATTTTGCAGCACATTACAAGTTTACAACGTTGGCAGAATTAAATTAAGAAAATTATCATTTTTGTTTCATTTTTTTCTGTGCAAAAATACAATGTTTTGATGCAAATAAAACTTGCTAAACTCTTATTCCTTACTCGGAGTTTTCCAACTACATCAGTGAAAATCATAAACTACCTAAAGGAACTGAGTCTTTGCCACAAACTCTGATTTTCTAATCTCTTTATCTTTTCAACCCAATGTCGTAGACCTTAGATATGACAAGCTTAAATTCTGTTGGTTGCTAGCAAATTTTAGTTTGTGGAAAAGACTCAATTCCTATATGTTTCAAAAATCGTTCAGGGCATATTTAAAAAAATCCTGACTCCCGAGGGACATTTTATAAATCAAAGAAAGAAAGAAAGAAGGCACCAATAATCATTATTCCATTGGTAATCACTGTAAAAAAAATATTACTTCGAAATCTGTAAATGTTTTTTTTCTCTTAAGGATGAGGTAGTCTTGAAGCATTCTAAATCTACAGAGGGAGTTCCAGATGAGTCCAATCATAATAAGAAAAGCAGGTAATCTATATATATCTTTGTTGTCTATTTTTTTTATATCCATGACTGAAGAGATCGGGTCCAAATTTTGTGTGGCAACTCAAATAACCCCGGGGAAGGTTTTTGTTTGGTCTAAGTAAAAATATACCAACAAGGGAAAATGGTTGCTTAAAAGAAACATTTAAATTCTAAAATTAATATTTTATAGGGGGGCAAATATATTATGTATAGGGGGGCAAATATATTATATATAGGGGGGCAAATATATTATATATAGGGGGCAGAAGCACTCTGAAAGTCATAGGACACAATATGTAGATGTGGCTTGTGTCAAAACTTTTCAGAGTAAGAAATTTGGCAAAAAAAAAATTTTCTTTCAAATCTTCGAAAAAACATTTTTTCGAAGCAGCCAAAATGCAGAAGAATCGGGGAGTTTGCCAAATACTACATTACAAATATATTAAAATTTACAAAATTCGAACTGAACTGCAACAGTTTTTTGGATCTTTTCTTTATGACTGTTTAAAAGCTGTGAAAAATTTTTTTAAATGCCTTTGAAATTGAATCGTAAATTGTGTCATTTGTAAGGTCAGGATATCAAAACAAACTAAGTATTCCTTTCATTCTATTTTTGATTTATAAAATGTTAGCTGAACTTCACACCGTCCATTCAAACACTTACCGACAAATCCTGAATCATCGATTCACGATACGTGGTTGAACTGTCTATAGACCTGGCTCAAATTTATTGAATCCAGTTTTGATTAAATTCTAGATCTGGACGATCTACCCGTGGATTATCATTGCCAAGTGAACTGGATTATTTGACACTGCACCAGGATCTGGATGCCGCCATATTGGAAATCGACAAAGTAATTTTAAAAAAGAAAATTTTAAAACAAAAATGTCCAGTCTTTTTATTGGTAGTTAAAAAATAAGCCTTTGCCTGCACGAACTCAATTTCTATTCCCTAGATCTTGGCAACCTGATAGTGTAAATTCCTTTGATACTCTTAGCCAATTTGATCGAATAGAATTTATAGTTTGAAATATCTCCAGTCTGGCGTAGATATGTGTTTTGTCTTGGTTTATCTGGCGTAGATATGTGTTTTGATTTATCTGGTGTAGATATGTGTTTAGTTTGATCTGGTGTAGATATGTGTTTTGATTTACCTGGCGTAGATATGTGTTTTGATTTATCTGGTGTAGATATGTGTTTTGATTAATCTGGCGTAGATATGTGTTTTTATTTATCTGGTGTAGATATGTGTTTTGATTTATCTGGCGTAGATATGTGTTTTGATTTATCTGGCGTAGATATGTGTTTTTATTTATCTGGTGTAGATGTGTGTATTAATTTATCTGGTGTAGATGTGTGTTTTGTCTGATTCCAGTTCAGAGGACGAGGAGGAAGAGATCGAGGAAAATAAGGTAAACAATGGTTAAATTCAAAAGTATGTAGATATTCCTGCAAAAAAAACCTGAACCATTTAAAGTCTCTGTGTGTACTTCTAAGACAGAAAACACGGTAATTTGGCGGCCGGGACGGAATTTAATAAATTTCAGATTTGTCACTGAAATATCAACTGCCGCGCGGTTCAACAATTGAACCTCCGATTCAAAATTAGAGATACAAGCAGGATTTGAATCAGTGATTCAAATTTGAACTGTGACGGTATGCATTTCAATGTCATTAAACTCGGTCCTAGAAATACAAATTTTTATATAAGCCGTTCAAGAAAAAATAAGCACCAATCTTTGTCAACTTTTCAGACCTTTAAATTTCAAATTTTAAAAAGTCTTCTTGATGTAACCGTCAAATTTGAAATATCTAAAGTTATCAAGTTGAAATTATATACAGGGCTTAGAATATTAGGGTTTTAATTTTCAATCAAGAACTTCCAAAGAACTCGCTTGAACTTGACCCAGTAGTGGATCCACAGTAAACATGTTTTCTGGAAAATCACCTAACCCCGGAAAAAATATCGATATTATATCATTGTTTTTGAAAATTTACCAATTTAAATAAAAAAATCCGCCAAACTTTGAGAACGATAAAAAATTACCTTTCTTTAAAGCAATAGTAAAAAGCAAATTTTTAAATAGGAAAAGGGGTGCCAACAAAAAAAAACTGGTTTTTTTTCAAGAATCATGAACCACTTGGAGACAGAGAACAAGGTGCACTGATGCTCTATAGATATGGTGTAGGGTAAGATGTTAAATTATTATTATAAGTTAGGTTATTTTACAATTACTATTTATGTAATAATATAGGTTTGTTAGAAGACAAAACCTTTTCTTTGAAATCTGCAAGTTTTTTTACTAGAAAATATATCGATATAAAGCAATAAATGCATTTTTCATGTAAATGCATGGCAAGGCAAATTAATAAAAAAGTTATTAGCCATTTCTGAAGTTTTTAAACACCGACCTGCCGTTTACCATACTCCACCCTACCCTATGGTGCATAATTTGCAAACCACCCACTTCCCCCCTCGAAGGTTCTCGACTTTCAGATTCTATTTTGTCCCGCGCTAAAATTAAATCTATAAAAGGCTTGAACCTTCTCAAAAAAGAGACAATTTCTGTCCAAAAACTTTACAACACTACGAACCAAAATAACAGTGTTATAAATAGTTAAAACGGGACTATTTATAGTTTTATTGACAGAAGAGATTCAATATCTTGAATTTTAATCAAAAAAAATCAAAATAAGTAAAAATATCAAAACATACAAAATACGAAAAACCCGCATAGAACAAGCGACGCTGTTTTAGAGTCTGAAAACGACCCGCACGACCCCAAAAACGGGCGCCGGCCCGACTCTGTTTTAGTACTAATAAGAGAGTCGTTTTTAGACCGTAAAGACCCTGAATCCGTCTCTCCTCAAAACGGATGGGTGTCGGGTTTCTGTCACGGCAGGGGGCCATTATCTCCCTCAAGATTTATTACTTTGGCGC